TGGCCGGGTGTGTGTGTCCCTTACCTGGGGAAGAGATGGCACCAGGATGCACTATGGGAAGAAGGCAAGCCGGCAGAGGCAGTGGGATGCTTTGGGCAATGTTCTGCTGGGAAACCTTGGGTCCTGCCATTCATGTGGATGTGACTTTGACATGTACCACCGACCTAAACATTGTTGCCGATAAAGTACACCCCTTCATGGAAACTGTATTCCCTGATGGCAGCAGGATAATGTCCCCTTCCACACTGCAAAAATGGTTCATGATTGGTTTGAGGAACACAACAACCAGCGCAAGGTGTTGGCTTTGCCTCCAAATTCTCCAGATCTCAATGCAATGGAGCATCTGTGGGATGTGCTGGAACGACGAGTCTGATCCATGGAAATCTGTTTTACCCAAACAGGGCTTACTCGTAGTGGATGACGAAGCCCTATTTGAGTGAAACGCGTCGGTGTGAGCTATTAAGGTGAGCCTGTTGTTTTTGTCCTACATACACAAAGCGCAGGTTCACTTTGAAGGAAACATTACAGCGATGTCTCCAGATACAAAGACTTTCCCTTCAAGCTACAACTTACAGTACGTTCTCACTACTGCCCATTCATTACACTCTTGCCGCTTTGACACGCGGGCGCCCACGTTGCCTTTTCTGTAAGATGATCACTGTACGGACTGTGCAAGTTCTCTGTGTTCTGATCCTCCTATGGGTGAAGGGGAGTTATTGCACGCAGGTCCTGATTAAAGTGAACCTAGCATCAGATATACAGTATTTTTCATATGAAGTAATGTGTCCATGTAACACTTCCAGGTATTCATTACCTATCACAAGGATCCCCCTGACAACACCTTCATCCACTTTTCTCTCCAGAAGGACGGAGACATCTTTCTTCAGAGATGTCCGCTCAGAGATGACACAATCTTATAAATGATTATTATTATACAGGAGAAACAGATACCATTTATTTCCCGACTGATACTTTTCCTCAATACCAATACCTTTTTTTTAGTATCATGTGACAGTTTTTTTTTTTTTAAACAATACAGATTAATGATTTTAAGACAATGGTGGAGCACCAGGGCCTGGTCCCATCTACAAACACTGCGCCCCTGGTAGTTCTGCCACTGACTCCAAACTGTAGAGGGACTACAAATCTCTGTAATATATTATACAGCAATGCAGGATACCATCAGCTATAGAGGACTACAAATCCCAGCAATACATTATATAGCAATGCAGAATAAATGTATATGAATTTCCTCTGACCGGCAGCGAGGGAACATGGAACTGGCTTTCCAGCCAATCAGGAAGCCGGGTCGCGGGTAATGACTCTCCGCCCGGCTTCCTGATTGGCTGGGAAGCCAGCTCCATGCTGTATGGCCGGCTGGATGTTGATTGGCCGGGAAGCGGGCTCCTTTGTTCCCTTGCGGCACTGCTGGTCAGACAGAGGAAATCACCCTGTTTGGCCCGGGAAGGCGGCTTGATGCTGACTGGCTGAGAAGCTGGCTTTCCGGCCAATCAACATTGAGGCAGCCAAACAGCCGGCTCGATGCTGATTGGCCGGGAAGCCGACTCTTTGGCTGTTTGGCTGGCTTGATGTTGATTGGCCGGGTGGCGGGTCATTACCTGCTGCCCGGCTTTCTCATTGGCCGGGAAGCAGGTTTTATGCTGGGTTTTTTTGGCCAGCTAGATGCCGATTGGCTGGGAAGCCGGCTTCCCGGGCAATCGGCATCGAGCCGGCCACACAGCATGGAGGTGGCTTCCTGGCCAATCAAGAATCGCAGCATTACCCACCGCCCAGCTTCCTGATTGCCCGGGAAGCCAGCTCCATGCTGGCAGAAGTACCGGTATCGGTGCTTAGTATCGTCGAGTACCGAAATATAAATATCGGTACTCGATACCGAAAAACCGGGACTGGTGCATCCCTAGCAGTAACCCCATGTCAGGGGGATTTGTAGCTAGTTTTTGCATTTTTGTCCTTGTTTGTCTCTCTCTCTTTTATTCTCACTCTCCCTACCTCTCTCTCCTTCCCCCCTACCTCTCTCTCTCTCACCATTCTCGCTCCCCTCTCTCTCTCTTCCCCCCTACCTCTCTCTCTCTCTCTCTCTCCCCACCTCTCTCTCTCTCGCTCCCCTCTCTCTCTCTTCCCCCCTACCTCTCTCTCTCTCTCTCTCATCTCTCCACGTTCCCCTCCCCCCGTCTCTCTTACGTTAATTACCCTACCAGTTGATTCCTCATTATTTTATGAAGAAGCGGTAATATTTTTATTACTGATAGATAATAACTTCTAATTAAGCACAATGTTCTTTCTTGCCGTTAAACTCGGATTTTAATTAAGAGCTCATTAGAGCTTCTTGTGTGGGTGACGCAGCAGTAACATTTGTGATTATACGGAAAGGTTCGGTTTACCCGTAATTGACATTTTGGCATGGGTTGGACACCAGTGTTGTACATCACATGCAGACACTTTGTATCTCTCCGGTGTTTCTCGGCAGACTTGCCCTGTACAGATGCTGCAAGTGGATTCCTATATGGGGAGGTGATCAGTGAGGTCATAATTAGGGCAGGACATGACCGTCACTTTAACAACAGACAGAATTTGGGGTCACTAACAAAATCTGGTCATACACACGAGATGACTGGCTCCTGAACTCTGAATCCACCTCTGTTCTCCTTGACTTGGCTGACGCCCCATTGGAACTCTATTAAGGAATTGCTCCTTTTTTGTGGCGATAAAGAGATGTCTACAAGGCTGACGTGTCTCTGATGGGGTAGTTAAGTTAAACCCAACCGTGGCCCAGTAGTTGCTAAAAATCAGGGGTAGGCAACCTCGGCACTCCAGCTGTTGTGGAACTACAAGTCCCATAATGCATTGCAAGACTCTGACAGCCACAGGCGTGACTAGATGCAGAGGCATACTAGGATTTGTTGTTTCAGCACACTTGGAGTGCCGAGGTTGCTGACCCCTGCTAAAGATGCTCAAATTGCAAGCATCTGTGTGTGTATGGCCATAGTTCGCTCTCCTTGAAGTGATTGCTCATGCAAAGTATTGAAAGGCTTTGATAGTGTCACGGGAAATAGTGTGAAACAGAAGCTGTGTTGCTGTGTCGCTAGCAATCTGTAACAAGCTCAGCAGAGAATCCCAGAAGGTAGCGGGGTCACCAGCAGTGGCAGGAAGATTCATTAGCAATGTATAGTAATGAGGATGGGAGACCTTTCAAGAAGCAGCGTGGTTACCGGTGGATAGCAATGGTCGATGGATAATTTCATGTCCTAAGTATTTGAATTGGATGTGTCAAGTGTAATACAGAAATGTACACCTGATTATGGCAAGTATACTTCTGAGGTTCATAACTTGCAGCTGCACAAAATATACAAGCAACAAAATCTAAAGCTGGACTCCAAGCAAGCGGCTAGATACGTAGACGACATACACTGTGATTGTCCATGAACCATTAAGGAGGGCCACACAGACGTTGTTAGAGCCGAAAAAGTATTTAATTTCTTTGCTGCAGACACAGGATCCCAGCCTTTGTTCAGTCTCCGGGGTAGATGGAATCACCCAGGAGCTGGATGGCATCAATGCTTGAGCTCTGCAGGCACCACGGTTTGAGCTATGCAGGCACCACGGTTTGAGCTATGCAGGCACCACGGCTTGAGCTATGCAGGCACCACGGCTTGAGCTATGCAGGTGTCTCGGCTTGAGCTATGCGGGCACAACAGTTTCAGCTATGCAGGCACCATGGTTTCAGCTATGCAGGCGCCACGGCTTGAGCTATGCAGGCACCACGGTTTGAGCTATGTGGGCACTACTGCTTGAGCTATGCAGGCACCACGGCTTGAGCTATGCTGGCCCCACGGCATAAGCTATGAAAGGGCCATGGCTTGAGCTATGCAGGTGTCTCGGCTTGAGCTATGCAGTGCCACGGCTTGAGCTATGCAGGCACCACGGTTTGAGCTATGCAGGCACCACAGTTTGAGCTATGCAGGCACCATCAGGTAGGAGGTCACTCTATCCAACATCCTGTGATTCCAAGTGCTAGAATGCTCTGCATCCAATGCTTGCAATCCCCCCCCTCCACTGTGCAATGGGAAGACCCTGCACTCATACCATAAGTCGTACAAATAAACATCGAATTGCGTGTTTCCATATCGCTTAGACAACATTTTGGTGGAACCTTCATAAAAAGGAAGATCTCGTCAAGAAAAACCCAACCAAGCCTCAGTTTCCTTTTTAAATAACGTCTACAAAGCATCACTTTTCTGTTCTTCCTTCACTCGAGACGAGCACGAGTAACACTTGTGTCAGGGTGACCTTCGAAATCGGCCCCGTTGTGTCCCGCGGGCCCGAGGCACGGCTCTTGTTTCTGGATAGATGTTATCAATAATTCACCTGCAGTTTGGGAGTTTAGTGCGTCTGACCTCCAGCTGCGCCTCTGAATCATGCGCGGTCAGGCGAGAAAATATTCAGCGCTAACGAAGCGAAGATTAAAGCGGGCTCGGGGTTGGATAATGGGCTGTTTTTGTTGGATGTCACATTGAATAGTTTCAACTATTACGGGCTGTTAGTGATGAAAAGTGGAAGAATTCTGCGGTTTGCAGGTGAATCGCCGACGGTTACCAGGTCAGAGCTTGATTTTCTGTAACCCAAGAAGATACATTTGTTACAAATCTGATATATAATAATAAAATATTATTTAAATAATAATAAACTCTGAACAGTGGCATCACAGGGGGGTTGGGGTGCTGGGGGTTCGGCCCGCAACTAGGTAACACCATTGGAGGGGTGACACCAAAATGACTGACAGTCATTTTGGTGTAACCCCCTTCAAAAAAGTCAGGCACTCGATCATGGACCGAGAGCGCAACAGTGTCAGGAGAGAGGAGGGGACAGGGTGAAATATTTTTTTGACTCTGAATCTTTTTTTCCACAATAAATCCAGATCAGACAATTATACATCACCCAGCAAAGCATTTGTCTATCTCACGGTCCCTGTTTTCTTGCAGATGGTCAGCTGTTACCTGGGAATAACCAGACCACAGAATGTAACATCCCCGGGAACTTCATGTGCAACGATGGCATGTGCATACCAGGCGGATGGGAGTGCGACGGGCTGACTGACTGCTTCGATGGGAGTGACGAAGAGGAATGTCGTAAGTCACACTTTCTTTGTTTTTTTTGTTGTTGGTTTTTTTGTCCTTTTTCTGGTCATGTGATCCCTACCTCCAGGAACTCTTTGGCTTATGTAAACTGAATCTGACTGCGTTCTCTCCACCTGTCCGCCTTCCTCATGTTATCTTGTGACATCCAAAACAACAAAAACTCATCAACGGGTTAATCATTAAACTTTTAAGGCCTCATTCACGTGGGAAACGGCCGGCACGTACAGCTCCATGCATGGCTGTATTGGGCAGCTCCAGGGAAGGACAGGTGCTGCGTGTGATTAGTACGCAGCCCCTGTCCTTCTCTATGGGAGTACACGGCCGTACGTTGCCCTACGCTCACCTGCCCTGCATGTCCGTGCGAGTGCAGGTGTACGTACTCGTACGCTGACAGGATGGATCCTGTCTGCATCCGAGCCGGGACACCTGCACCCGTACGGACCTGCACTTGGGGTGAGCATAGGGTGGCGTACGGCCACGTACTACCATAGAGAAGGACAGGGGCTCCGTACGAATCACACGCTATATATGTCATATTATTTTTATTTATTAATAATAATAAAAAAAAGTAATTAAAAAAATTAAATAATTTACACATACACACACTATATCCCATTCTGTATAAGATTTTTACTAGGTTTTTGCAGTGATAGATTTCAGTAATCTCTATATGGCAACTCATTCCTTGACAGAAGAAGCCCTAGTGGTACCTGACCCTCTAAGTAAAGTAAAGGAATATTTGAGACAATAGATGTTTTTATTGTTTGAGGTAACCCGTAAACAAAATATTGATTGATTCTAAAACTTTAACCATTTTATAATATATTCAGACAAAACCATAAGACATGTGAGCCATCTGATAATGAGCCGACAGTGGACGCACGGACACGTTAACAACATGTAAAGAGCAAAGTCCTGTATCTGGATCTTCTTAGGTACATAGAGGTAGATCAATGGACGTGTCGTGCGTTGTTGGATCCTAATGTTTTTCGCTAATATTAGCTTCTTCAGGGGAAAGGCGCTGACGCTCAGAAATCATGAGATTCCAAGAAGCAGCAGACAAGCATTCACCGTCACCTAATACAGGAGGGGGGACCCCTGGAGTGAAACCAGATCCCCACCATATGGGTGGGAGGCTGGTTGGACTCTTACAATAGATATTGGAGCGGTCCGTGCGTGTTCCCTCCTTGGGTGCCTCCTCCCGTATTAGGGGAGGGCGCATGCTTATCTGCTGCACCTGCCCCTAGACCATAACGAGCAGCTAACCCTTGCAATGGGGGGATAGCCCCCACTGGAAGGGTTCATTTTTAGATTCCTGGAGTTCTTCTTTTAAGCGGCTCTCCATATTTGCACCTAAATTTGCAAACACCTCACCCTGTGTTTGTGTTCCCAATTTACACAGCAAAGACAAAAGCATTTCTTACCTCTCTAGTTGTTTCTTTGTAACATGTATATCGATAGGACTCTGTGGGCAGCTACTATCGGTCACAATAGCTTGCAATAAACTTGTTTAGGAACACTCAAAGGACAGGTCGGATCGAAAGTGCTTCCTGCTTGGCCGCTGACACAGACTTCTCTTCCAGGCTTTGGTTGGTTTGCCCTGAGTCCATTTGGCATTCAGACAAATGCTAAAGCCCTGATGAAGGGGGGTTTGTTGAACCCCCAAAATGTGTTTGCTGCCTTTTTGTATTGTCAATAATAAAACACATTTTAGACTCTAAGATAATTTGTTTGGCTAAAATACACTTCTCAATGCGGGTAACCTTTGTTCCCAATAGCCTGTTTTGAGGAGAGCTGCTGAACACAAGGCACATGGCTATAATGAGAATTATTAACAACTTGGGGATCGGTATCCAGCACCTTGATGCAACCTCTGTTTAGGATACATTTACATGTACACACCTTGTATGTGATACTGAGCCTCCATCATTGAAGGCACTGGAATCCAATGAATAAACAGGGCGGTCCAGGGACAGTCAGGATGGGGAGGAGAGTGCTAGATAATGTAAGGAAATGAGGCGGGCTCTATGTGACATTGTGAGAAGCTCCTAGTGTGCAGTGACATCAGAGTAAGCCATTTCAGTCCAGGAGAGGAGCCGGTACAACTGCAAGGGGAAACCGGAGTTCATCTTTTATATAAGGATATAATTACTAGTAGTGCACAAGTTATGATTTTTTAAAACAATGCAACACCCAAACTAAATGTATTTTATTGTTCTTTAAAAGTTACAAACTGGCTGCTCAATTCTAATTTATTTTGACACCCTTTAAATAAATCTATATGTTGCACTGAGCTTAGTCTTCTCCCCCTTGGAATGTGTCAGACTTTCTTGACTTTGCTGCCCCCGCTGGCCAACACGAGAACTGCACCTTCCTTTTTTCCTGGGAGCTTCGGAGTGAAATCTTAAAGTAAATACATTTTATGAGGCCCCCACTGACACATCTGTGGCTCTCGCTGGGAGATGGCGGATGTGCCCGGGTCCGCTTGGCAAGGCTCCTCTAATCTGCTTTGTATCAATTCTCTGAAGTCCCGTACCAAACATGTGAGACTGTGATAGCAAAAGCCAGACAGAGGCTTCCCAATTCTGTTCTCCAGACGTCGCCTTGATCCGAGATGCATCAGCTGTAACAGAGCAGGGACGGAGAGTAAAATCTGCGATTAAATTACACTTCAGTAAAGGAACATTCTCTCCCCGGACCAGAGTCTGCTAGAAGAATGTGTCCGGGTGATGGAAATCAATTATACGCCAAACCAACACCCACGGCTGTTTATATAGGCGTGACAGGTGATCGATCAGCTTTTGTGTACACATATGAGAACAAATACGGAGCAGGGAGGAGGCAGCGGTATAAAGATGCCTCCGAGGGTGGCAGTCGGGCAAGGATTTCTATCCTGTCCAATTACTATTTACCCCCAGATGTCTTGGCTGGTTGATAATGCATTAAAGGTAAAGTCAACTTTCTGGAAAAAATAATAAATGCACACTTCTTCATAAAAGGAAAAAAACATTTATTCGTTTTTTGCATTGGAGTAAAGCATTGCAGCCGGTATCAAAGGCTGGCAGGTGCAATGCTCTGGCTCCTGCAGATTCTTCCTCCCGTCCATGTCCATACCAAGCAACGGACATTCAGTAACATGACATTCAGTAACATGGACAGGAGGAAGAATGAATGGACTTCACCGCACTTGTATCCTGTCAAAGGATCTGTGAATGGATGAAGCGGTTGTGTGGGCGGAGTCGCACACAGCCGCGCCAAATTCACAAAATTGCAGCAGCCTGCAGGGACAAGAACCCCATGATTCAGGTAAGTGTGGATGGGGAGTTGAGGGATTTAGGATGGGACCAAGTTTCATGTTACACCCATAACATGGTCCAAAAGGTAAACTGAGCCTTTAAAGGAGAACTATGGGGTCGATCTGCCAGTCAGCACTGGCGGATCGGAGCGGGGAGGGGGGAATCCAGAGAGCTGTGACAGGATTGAGCGGTGAGCGAACGCCGGTATGTGTTCCCTCACTTCTCGATCTACTGAGCCGACCTGTGACAGTCTCATTGTCACAGGTCGGCTAGAACTATGAGGTGAGTGAAAAGCACTCACCTCATAGTTCTCCTTTAAGGCAGAATGGGTTCCTAAGCACGGTAGCAGCTCAAGGCCTCATGCACACAGACATATTAAGGGGTGTGCAAACAAAAATTTGGGAAGCCCAGGTGATGCATACAACTGACCACAGATATGAAGGGCTGTACATGGGTATATGTCAGTACTCGCATATACCCACGTATAGTGTATGGACGTATTCCCTTAGTGCCAAAAGTCTACATTCAGGAAATATGCCCATATGCTATACGCGGGCATGCACCGGCATACAGCCACACACAGTCATTCAAGTCTATCGGTGACTGTATGCAGCACCAAATTTACCTTGTACGCCCGTTAATATTAATATGCCTGTGTGCGTGAGGCCTTATCCCCCTCAACCCTTTTGTTGAAGGAACCGGGTGAAAATTGTTTGGACCATCGGTGACTGTAGCCAATTAGCTATGGCCACTGTTCGGATATTCTACCAGTGGCGTGCCCCGCCTGTCGGAATACAATCTTTATGTGTATGGGCAGCTTTAGATGTACCCCATGCAAATTGCTGATAAGCACCATGCACATTTAAAAAATGCTGCAACTGCAGAAACAGACCTGTTGTCCCTGTTTGAGCTGACAAAACAATGCCTCTGCTGCACTAAAATTCCAAGCAGTGTTGCTTGAGTTCTTCCCTGCTGAGTTACAGAGCACCTCCCCTCTTTATTATGGAGAAGGGGTAGTGTCCAGGGGTTGCAATGTTGCTCCTGCCTAAACACACTGCAGTGAATAAGCATTGTCACCCTAGTGCAGGAAGTGTCTTATCGGCAGAATCAGCAAGGGGAAAATAAAACAAATGCAGCCACCACATCTAAGGGTTGGTAAGCTGCAGCATATGACGTTATTGTTCTTGGGTTTTGACACACTTTAACTGGGGAACTTTGGTGTACTCATAACGCATTGTTGTCATCAGTATAACTGGTTCTTTCTTTCCTCTTGTTCTCTTTATGCTTGGGTCAGACTAGGTGGGAAAGTCAGGAGACCGTCTTCTCTGCTCACAGGTAAATCTGGATCTGGATCACACTCCTCATTTTATGGCTGAATACAGTGCTCACTCTTTCTGCTTCTCAGGATTTACTATGCAAGTTTATACTTTTTCCACCGACAGCATATTTGCCATAGAGTTCTATTTAAAGTGACACTAAACTCTGGAATTAAATCCTAAAAATGCATTCCATTACCCTAACAACAATGTATATTATTTGTGTATCACTCGGCTGTAGATCCTCCAATCATCTCTGAATTGGTGCTGACACTGTCCTTCCTTCTGGAGGGGGGATACTTTTGTTCCTCATGGTCCCTGTGTGTGTGTTGTAAAGTAGTCACCGCTCCAAGCTCACTCCCCTGATGGAGTACAATCTCATGTTTAGTTTACAAATTTGTATTGAGATTGTAGTTTATCCCGGGACTGAGCTTGGAGCGGTGGCTACTTTACAACACACACAGGGACCATGGGGAACAAAAGTAGCCCCCCTCCAGCAGGAAGGACAGTGTCAGCACCAATTCAGAGATGATTTGAGGATCTACAGCCGAGTGATACACAAATAAGATACATTTCTGGTAATAGTTGAGGTACTTGAATGTATTTTTAGGATTTAACTCCCGATTGTAGTGTCACTTTAAGACTTATTTTCACTATTCTGATTATTGCTCAGGAAAATTGAGACTTAAATCTGGTTAACTTATTGTATGGACCTCCTGCTAATATTCCTCACTTCGGGGGAATATAATATACCGGGACAGCTTTCAAGAGCACCGGTAGAATGGGTGAGCACTGTCATTGTAAGCTGCATTTGTCCAACCCATTGTATGTGGATTCGTGGTGCCGTCATTGTGTGTGGTTGAAGCCTCCATTTTAAAATTGCTGCCACTCAATTCTTGCTCAAGCAGTGACATCACTGAGGCAATTCTTGGGCTGATTTACAAAAGCTTTATTGAAGTTTCTGCAAAGGAAAACATTTTTTTTAGATTTGTATAGCTATAGTTGCATTATACACCAGCGGTTCTGGATGTGCATCTAGCCAATGGGGTGAAAAGCTATGATTTGCATGTGTCTTTGAAGGTTCTCATTCATCCAGGTCATGGTATATCTGTAGTAAAATAAATCAAAGCAGCTGGACTTACTGTATTTTTATTTAAGATGTTTTGCTGGTCCTCCGACTAGCTTTCTCCATTCAGAATTTTTGTACAAGTAATTCTGAATGGAGAAAGCTAGTTGGATGACCAGCGAAACGTCTTCAAGAAGCAAAACGTCTTCAGGAAAAATACAGCAAATCCAGATGCTTTTGATTTATTTTTTCATAGATTTTTCATATCAATGTTTTGCATGGCTCCGCCCACTCCTGAAATAATAATTTTCTTATTTTTTGGCATATGTGGGATGAGACGTGAATACCTTCTGTTTTAGGAAGGTTTTACTGGTCTACACACTGGTTTGGTTGGAGAGCCTTTTGATTGCTTGAGTCCCTTCTCACCATAATGTATATGGTTATATTGTCCTATTAGATTTGGATAGTGTCCCCAATAGGGAGAGTCACCCTCTCTATTTGTCCTGGGAACCACGGTCACCACCATAGAAAGTGGTTGGAGGGCTTTTTAATTGTTTTAATCCCTTCTCAACACAACCTGTATGGTTATATTGTCCCACTGGGGAGATTCACCCTCTCAATTTGTCCTGGAGACCACGGTAGAAAGTAAGGAGAAATCCAAAGAGATGCCATTAGAGCAAGACATAAAGCAAAATCTGGAAATGGGGGCACTTGTCCCTTTGACTACTTGCTACATTCACTTTGGAGATATTTCCTCTCATATCCTGTTGTGACTGACAGGAAGACAGGAAGTGAAGGGAAATTTCCTCAACTGGACAGGGGCAGCAAAAGTAGAAACAGGCGAGGAGTTCCTATACCCTCTCTAGCAATCTTGGCTTGGGCCAATGGCCTCCAGCCAGCTGGGCCACAAGGGTCTCATAGGCTTTAAAAGCCAGTCAGATGTTTGCCTTTAATTTTATTTAATATACTGTAGAATGCTAACAGCAGGAATCTGCAGTCTGGGGGCAGAGCCTCCATTTTGATTTGCTCTAAAAATAAGCCTAAGTGATGCCACTCGTCTTTGCTTGTATATTCCTTCATGTACATTGGCTCATTGGCTCGACTCATCATGGCTTCCTCAACATAGACATCGGCTCCCCTCAAGAATGTTCATTGTCTCGTCCGAAATGAAGACGTCATCCCATTCTCTGTAGAAAGCGTTCATATCACTGTTGCCATGTTCATAGATCATTTGAGGCTTTATATCTAGCCCCAGGATGTCCAGGCCATCTTCAACACATCATGAGATCATTGAGAGCTAATTATGAAATGTTCTGTGCAGGTACAGGTACAGATCGTGCCTCCATCCTTCATGCCTTGGTAAGGTGAATAATGATCCATGACTAGGTGTCATCCTTGACTCAGACCTCACCTTTCTTCCCCACATCCAATCACTATCCAAATCCTGCCGCCTTCACCTTCGTAACATCTCCAAAATACGCCCCTTCCTCACCAATGAAACCGCAAAATTACTCATCCACTCCCTTGTTATCTCTCGTCTTGACTATTGTAACTCCCTCCTCATTGGCCTTCCACTACACAGGATATCCCCCCTTCAGTCTATCATGAATGCAGCTGCTAGACTCATTCACCTAACCAACCGCTCAGTGTCTGCAACCCCCCTCTGCCGATTTCTCCACTGGCTTCCATCCCCCACCCCCCTCTGTGAATCCCTGCAGTGGCTTCCAATAGCCCAAAGGATAAAATTCAAAATATTAACAACCGCTACAAAGCCATTCACAACTCTGCCCCCGGCTATATCTCAAACCTGGTCTCAAAGTATCACCCTAACCGTCCCCTACGCTCTTCACAAGACCTTCTGCTTTCCAGCTCCCTTGTCAACTCCTCCCATGCTCGCCTCCAGGACTTCACTAGAGTCTCTTCCATCCTATGGAACTCTCTACCCCAACCTGTCCGTCTATCTCCCACACTGACTGCCTTTAGGCGATCCCTTAAGACTAATTTCTTCAAGGAAGCCTATCCCACCTCAACCTAACCACTTAACAATCACTTTCTCAAACAATCATCCCCACACAGCTACCTCCTCATGCATCACTTGCCCCTCCCTTTTAGATTGTAAGCCCTCAGGGGCAGGGCCCTAATTACCATCTTGTCTTGAATTGTATTGTGATTGTAATGTCTTCCTTATATTGTAAAGTGCTGCGCAAACTATTGGCACTGTATAAATCCTGTATAATAATAATAATGAAGCAGAGACAGCAAGCCTCTCTGCTTCATGGTGACTGAGGGGAGTATTGCCTCATGCTATATTGCCCATGGCCATCAATAATCTTCCCCGCTTCCCTCTCCGTGGTGCGGGGAAGCGGAGATTTGTATGCTATTGGTTGCTAAAGGCAATGCTGCCTTCAGAGTTTCCTCCTTTTTCTACATTCATAAATTTGGCGGTATTCTGCAGTGCACTGTATAATGTACTATTGCTGGGTTTTGTAGTCCTCCAATAGCTGGCGGTATTCTGCATTGCGCTGTATAATGTACTATTGCTGGGTTTTGTAGTCCTCTATAGCTGGTGGTATTCTGCATTGCACTGTATAATGTATTATTCTTTGATTTTTAGTCCTCTATACAGAGCAATGCAGAATACCACCAGCTTTATAGGGATACAACAAATCCCAGCAATACATTATACATGCAGTGTGTAATGTATTATTGGGATTTGTAGTCCTCTATAGCTGATGGTATAATATACAGCACAATGTACCATCAGCTATAGAGGAATACAAATCCCAGCAATACATTATAGAGCACCATGTGGGGGGAGGAGTGCAGGCTTACCTGAGCAGTCTTCCAGCAACCTGTTTCTGAGGTCGGACCTGTCTATCGGCAGCTGTCATCCCCCCACACCTGCTCCTCCTTACTTCTTCTCCCCGCGTCCCTGTGTCGATCGTGGATGTGGGTGGGCGGTGAGCGTGAGGAGGCGCGGCATGTGGATGCGGGCGGATCTGGCAGCAGCGAGCGTGAGGTGGGGAGGAAGTGTGGCGCGCAGCGTGGAGCCGTGAACAGGGCCAACCAATCGGAAGACGATTAATCGATGATTGAAAAAGTTGACAACTTTTTCAATAATCGATTATAATCGATTATGTCGATTAGTTGTTGCAGCCCTAAATCAGACCCCTTCTATCTGCATGAGACACGGTGGTTAGCGCTTCTGCCTTACAGCACTGAGGGTCCCTGGTTCGAATCCCGGCCATGACACTATCTGCAAGTAGTTTGCATGCCCTCCCTGTGCTTGCGTTTGTTTCCTCCGGGTACTCCGCTTTCCTCCCACACTCCAAAGACATGCTGGAAGGTTAATTGGCTCCTGTCTAAATTGGCCCTGTATGCATGTGAGATAGGGACATTAGATTGTAAGCTCCTGGAGAGCAGGGACTGAATGTGCACTATGTAAAGCACTGCGTAAATTGTCAGCTCTATATCAATACCATTAATAATAAAAATGGTGTGTTTTATACATGGCAAGGACCGAACATCGTATATTTTACAGTGGAATGAAGTGAAAGACGGCCGCTGTGTTTTTTTTTCTATTTGCTGGAATAGAGATAAGTCAATTCTCCTAGTAAAAAAAAAATAGAAGCAAAAAGCCGATCGCATTTTCTCCAGCGACCCTGTCACTCCCGATTCTCTTCACTGCGCGTATCCGTCGTAAGCGACGAGCTGAGTAAAATGATGGGACTAACAGCTTAGGATGCGCTTCAGTAAGTGCAGCACCACACGCAAATGATCTCCCAAGATATATATTTAGATATCAGACACCTGCGCCGTGCAAGATTTCCCGCTCATAGATCCTTTTCAGCTGTTTGACAGGCCGATATTTTGGTGCCAATCGGTGCACAACGTGGTCCTGTCTCGTCTTAACGTCTCAGTATGTTTGCAGGACAAAACATTTAGGGGATAAA